CTCTTATCGAAGATTACACCTAGATATTTTGCTATCACGCATTTCTGCAACGCTCGCTCTTCACATCACTTTTCACCATCACGCGCGCTAATCAACCAGATTGCTTCGAACGTTCATATTTATACTGGGATCGCTGCTAGCACGCATCTACGTCATTACGCGCGCTAGCCAATCAATTCTTCCTCCTCACTTTCGAGTTTCGCTCCGCCACACCGAGCAGCTTATAAAAAGGGGCGGTTCCAACGCCGAGTGATACAGTCCGACTGGAGTCTACGTTCAAACCACACAGCAAGCAACTTAAGCGAGCAGGCTTCGTCGCCAGCGCTCGGTCTTCGGAGGCATCGGCAGGCTGCACCAGGCATGACTGCCTCGGCCCTCCGGCGCTCTCACACCCGACTCACTGGGGCACCGCGCCTGGACTCGCCGGTGGTCGTGTTATGGTCCGACTCACTGGGCATCTGGCGTAGCCACTGCCTCATGGCTCCCACGACCGCGCTCAACGACTAGCCTTTCACCAGCCATTCACCGTAGCTAGCCTTTCTCCTTACCGGCGCGCGCAGCGCTACCTCTCCGATCAAGCATCTCAGCAGCCACGGTCCTTTTCAGGGCCAACAGACTGTTCCGAAGAAGTGGGTTGTCATAGGAGTAATGACAAAGACTACACATTCAAGAGCCCCACACAACAACCACAAGATGAGTAGGATACACTAGGGCTGTTTCTGGGAAACAGCTTAGTAAACACGTCCCCAATGCTAGGCAGCAGGTTCTTAATAATGCAACAGTTGAACTACAACAACAGAAGAGCTGCTGTTTTCTATGTGGTCTGTGCCAAGAGGTTTGTGACACAAGGTTTGGAAGTTAGTCAGTTGAGTATACAGTTCTGTAGAGTCTGTGAAGAGAGAACTTGAGCGAGCGAAACTGAAGAATATCGACTGTTAAAATCCATTACCAGGAAATTTCTAGTGAAGACACTGCAGGCTGGAGAAGACTTAACATGTAGTGATTAGTAAAATGTGGAAATCAGCGATAGTGTAATAAATATTTGTAGTTACAACCTGTAACTGATAAATAAATCGAGCTGCTAATCCCAACCCCATCTAGTCACTCATACACGTGACAACACTTTTCAGAAACTCTTAATTTAACATTACCTACAAATATGAAACTTAATGTTGGATCATTCAACCATTAACATAAATATTTCCAAATTCCAGTCATAACAACAGCATTTGCAGTTGTAATAAATTTTATTCTGTACCAAATTATCCATTACCAGAGTCATTTGTACAAAAAATCTTCAAGGAATAAAATGTTAACATGGTGATTTCATGTTATTGCCTTAAAACATCTAACAAGCAGGAAAACTTTCAGCATAGACCACAGAGCTTGCTGCAGTCAACATATTGCCACATGTATGAGTGACTGTCAATGCAGTTTTGAACTTGAGACTGGATTTATTGACCACTTTAACTCACAATTCAAGACTACACTTAATTATAACGCCATTGCTAATCTCCATACTTTACAAATCACTAAGGCATATGCTCAAGTCTCCTGAGTCCGCTCGGTGTTCACCAGTAGATCTCTGGTAATGGCTTCTAACGGTGGAGATTCTTCAGCTTCCTCACTCACTTTATTGCCTACTGGCTCTCAACTGCACCAACTAAGTCATTCCTTCACAGACTCCCTTACAACTCTCTAACGAAATTCCAAACATACCTTGGTTATAACATCTTGGCATGGACCATGTAGAAACACCATTCATTGCTGTACTCCAATCATTTCCATGGAATCGTGTTAGTCTGCGAAGGTGTTACTCTGTAACGGCTGCGTATACTTGCTTATTAAGAAAGTGTTCCCGAGCAGCACATGTTGTTTCACTGTTTGTTCCAAGGTCATTACCCAGTAATGGGTCTACACACTACAGTATTAAGGTGAAATAGTGTTAAGCAAAGGAAACCTATACTCTTGTGGCTTCACACATCACAAAAATTTACCAAAATTCCTAAGTTGTTCATTCTTTACTACAGCAATTTTGTATCTGTCAAGTACAGTAAAAATGCCACCCTCTGCCATCTACAGTAAACAAGACTAATATAAATTAAAACCAGAACTGCAAATACATCATATGGAACAAAGGGGCAGAAAGACATCTGCAGAACATATCAGAACTGACATGCATGGGAAAATTTCAATATTTAGCATGACATAGGAATGATTAAATTCAATGTACCTTTTTTTTTTAGAGCGTGTAAAGTCACAAAGATATTACTGAGTAAATAATCCTATTCTCCTGACACCATGAACTTGAATTTGAAACGCCATAACAACATTACCATCTGATACAGCATGCATTACTCACCAGTTTATTGATGCGAGAGGCATGATGAGAGAAAGAAGCACAAAATACATATATACAATTACAATACTAGTCTCTACTGAGCTGATGATATAAACTACAAGCCACTAGATACAAATTTCCAGGACTTCAACAGACAGGTTATGGGATCAACATACAGTTCTATTTCTCTGGATCAGCGCTCATACTTTCCACAGTATTATACTCACAACCTCCACATCCCAATTTAGTATGGCAAGTATTTTCAGACCTCAATACTAACATCTCTGGGACCTGCCTGTCGGGAGTTAAGACAACAGACTGTCAATTACAAGTTTCAGACCCCAGCAACATGTGAAAATATTTCTGCTCTGAAAGCTTCACTTCTACCATAGAAGACATGCGAAGACTATTAGGCCCACTCTGCAGTTTGGAGCCAACATTATGTTCAGCTCCCCATCAACAGCTACCATTCCTATGTTCACCACATCAGTGTCTGTAACAGATTCTGCCTTATTGGTGCCCCTACCTCAGAAATGGAATCGATGCAGCTTAAAGGTAGGCAGAGACCATATCTGGAGGCACTAGACAAAGAGGACCAACTTTCTTTTCTTGGCAGGGGGGTGAGAGTGAGTACACTTGGTACGTCAGCCACTATCTGGCCTAATGTACCAGCCCCAGATGATAGATGTTGATGAGTACAGAGCAGTCAATGGAATGAGAATTGGCAAGGGAAACTGAAGTACTCGGAAAACACCTACCCCAGTGCCACTTTGTCTTACACAAATCCCAGCTGAAATGACCTGGGATTGAACCTGGGCCACTGAGGTGGGAAGCCAGCAACTAGCCACCTCGTCTACAGCATGGCCAGCCGCAACTTTTACTTGTGATGCCCTGCGTTACTGTAATGATACATGTGTGTGGTCTAGCTGGCTGGATATAACAGTTTTTTGATACTAATACTGTTATGGCAGATTTAATGTCTGGCCACCAGCCCTGGAGCACCAGGGTAATTAAAGTTTATGTCAACATAAACGTTCTTTTACTCTGGTTGAATTTTGTATGTTGGTAAATACTCTTCCAATAACTATGACTTTCCCAAATAATTTGAAAATTCATCATGAGCATAAACTATATGTGCTTAGGCTTAACCGCCTGCTTCATAGCCT